GGGATTACAGGCACCCACCACCGTGCCCAGCTAATTTTTTGCAATTTTAGTAGAGACGGGGTTTCACCATGTTGACCAGGATGGTCTCGATCTGTTGACCTCATGATCCACCCGCCTTGGCCTCCCAAAGTGCTGGGATTACAGGCTTGAGCCACCACGCCCGGCCCTTATTCCTTCTTTACACTGTTCTGTTTCTTCTCTCAACCCTCCTATCTCCTCCCAGCCATCTGCTAGGCATTTTACAAATGATTGTCTGTTAATGTAACATTGTTACTGGCAAGGATTATCAATGGATGCCAAACCATTGAAAAGAAGGTTGTTAGGGTATACACATACCAGTGTATCACTCTGGAGTTACTTACCAATTTCACTTCAAAATGGAGAGACCTGGCAGTCACCACTTGACTTAAGTGATCAAACTTGACTGAGCACTAAGAGCAAGACAAGCCAACTTCATGTGCCTCTCAACAGGATGCAACATAAAGTATATATACATCATCATCTACGAGGCAGTCCTGTCAAAAACACTTAACCTGAATTGAATCAAGCCTCTACATCTATCCATAAATTTACAGGAAATATAGGGGATAGATTAGGGACAAGTCAAACAGAAGTCATAAGAATGAAATCAGACAATCTAGCATATGAGAAATTTTACAAGAAAACCATCCTGGACTCTTGAGAAAAAAAAAATACATCATGAGTAAAATGTGGAGGACTGTTCTAGATGAAAAGATTAAGAGTGTAGAGACACACCAATCAAATGTGGTATGTTTACTTTGATCAGATACTAGTTCAAAGCAACAACGAAGAAAATGATGGACAGAAAAAAAAAACTATTAGGTTGGTGCAAAAGTAACTCTGGTTTTTGGCATTATTTTCAATGGTGAGAGCAGCAAGTACTTTTGCACCAATCTGTATAAGTGACATTATGAGGAGACTAGAATATGGACCGATATTAGAAGATAATAGAGAATTATTTATTGTTAATCTTATTAGATATGATAATTGCATTGCGGGTTTTAGAAGAATGTCTTTATTCGCAGCAGATGCAAGCTGAAGCATTTACCAATCAAGAATATGATGCCTGAAACATGCATTCAAATGATTCTGCCAGTGTGGCAGAAGGTTAACAGTTGATGAATCTAGTATGCATATTCACTGTCCCATACTTCTAATCTCTATGGTTATTTTAATTTTTTTATTTAAAAAAGGGGTTGGAAAATAAAATGAGAGGCTCCCTGGTGGGGCTAAGAGTAGATGTTTTTTCAATCTGCGTAAATTAAACTCAGTCCCGATAAAGAATCTGATTAACTACTTTTAGAAAATGGCATGGGGTTGGGGTATGAGGCATTTCTCAGTGGCTTCTTTCTGCTTCCTGTTCTATTCATTCTTTTTCCCACTGGATATTTATAGGTACTTTCCATTCCCTTCTACTCACTCAGAGAAGGCTTCAGGTACTTGACTAGCCTAACTCCTCACATCTTCTCTTTCTATCTGGACCAACTTGGTCCCTTTTAACTTTTGACTTGACAATCACCTAGAATCCCTTTAATTTTTGGCTCATCCCACACTATTTCCTTCACCTGATTTGTGGGAGTGACAATCCTTCACCCATGGTTTGTTCTTCTTGGTCACCTCTTCTTACTCATTCTGAAAGAACATTTAGAGGCATTTGCATTTTTATTAAATCTATTAGAGGTGATTTCTGTCTATAAGAAGGACTGACATGGGCCATGAACAGCTATAGGTAGGTATGTGTTTGGTAGTGATGGTAACACTAAAGGTGGAATCCTTTACCACTTTTTGTACTTCTTTGTATCAAAGGGTCTTTGCTTCTAAAGTAAGTGTTTGTTCAGGAAATGAAAAAAAAATCACCTCTAAGTTATTAACTTCAGCTCAATAGGCTAAAATTATTTTGGTTGTCCTCAGCATGCATTATAAGTAACTATCACTAGACTAATGTTCAAATGAGTCTAAGTCAATTTAAGACAAAATGCAATACACATTTGCTCCCTCAATATAGCACACAGCAATGCACATAATGTTTAAGGTCTATTATTTTTAAAGAATTTAAATGATGCTAAATTCATATTGCAAATGAATGTAACATTTTACGTTATACTAAACATAAACTAGTGTTCCTTTGTATATAAATTTTAACATTCAAAATTTAAAATATTAGTTTAATTTATATAACAGGGGTCAGGAGTTTGGAGTTTCAGCATTAACTTAGCCTTCCTGCTGGTTTACTACTACTGCTGAACTCCCAGTTATAGGAACTGAGCCCTTGAATCCAAATCCATTTCTTGATCAAATATAGAATTTATCCTACTATAAAAATTATTTTCAGGCCTAGTTTCCCCAAGGCCTTGTCTTCTCCAATTGGATGTTCTATGTTAGACTGGTATTGTAAATACTTTTCCTAAGACCTTCCAATGTCTAAAGTAATGACTCTGGATGCCAGAACAGTATCTGGGTAGCTATTGTAAGCACCCCACAGACTCTAGGGTCCATTCCAAAAGTGTTCTAATCTGGCCTATGTAGGTGAACTAAGGTTCTGACATTAAAGCCTATAAATGTTGGAAAACTTTGCCATTACAATCCAACATCTTGTAAAGAGTAAATAACTCCACAAAACAACTCCTGTTTCCATAAAAACAGAAACAGTGTGAAACATAATTTTTCAAAAATAAAATTTTATACTTTTTCATTTAAATATGAGTACAAACATAGTTTTAATTATAAAAGAAAAATGTACCCATCTTTCATGTGTGAAGTGAACATATAAAAGCACTTATTTTAAAAATAACTATATATTCTATAGGATTTAATGTGAGAAATCAAATTCTTGAAAACAGAAAAATACTACCATGAATACCTTTAGAAAGACAAATAAGTGTGTATAATTTTTTTTTAAATTCAAATACTTCTTAAAATTTATTAGAAGTAGGGCCTTCAGATTCTCTTGTTACCTTCCAACTATGACTACAATGCTAAATGGTGTTTCATCTGAATCAGAAGTAATAAAGAATAATGATAATATTTTCTAATAAAAGCATTAGGTACAAGAATTATTTAAAACTTTGACATCACTATTAGATTTTACTTTAAAAAAATAAACGATATCATTAAAAACAGATCTCAAAGACTTGAGAGTAATCACATATTTCTTTTACTTATTAATAATTCTCCAACAGATATAAACCTAGTGTGAAAGACACAGCATAGCTGGATTACAATATGGTTTCTGTGGGTGAAGTCAGATAACAGTATTTACAATGTAATTTAATTAACTTGAGAATGCTAGCCAGGCATGAAGCAATGAACTTTATAAAATTAACTATTTTGCCAGATAAAGAAGTAATATTTAATGTACAAAGTTATTTTTAAACTATTCTTGATGATTTACCAAGGGATCTCTTATGAAAAAGCTAAATTTTGAAAAAGAATGAGAATTGAAGTCCTCAAGTAATTGAGTCAGACTGTAAGCTCCTTGAATGCCTGGCAAATATTGTTTTGAAGCTCAGTAACTTAAAAATAGCAAGTCCCCAGTAAATATTTCTTGGTTGTCTAAAGCACGCCTAAAATAACAAAGGAATAATAATTAGCTATTGAAAGTTTGAAAATCTACAAAATAATCACACAATGTTGGAACTTAAATCCAAGACTATCTGTCTCTAAAGCCTGTGCTCTTTCCACTGTCATTTCTTTCTTTGCTTCACTGAAATAATTTAGATAATTTAAAAATAAAAGCTTTCAAAAAATATATCTACATAATCTCAAAGTCTTGGCTGAGTTACATGACACATAAGTAAGGCAACTGTGAACATGCATACAACTTCCCTAGTAAATTGTGGGGAGCATGGAGAAAAGGAGACACAAAGTAGATGTTGGGGGTAAGACAGGGAGGAGGAAGAGAGAGAACGGGGAGAAACAGGGAGACCAAGGGAGAGAAAAGAAGCTGGGAGGAAGAAGATAAGGAAGAGAAGAAAAGGAGAGAGAAAGGAAGGAGAAAAGAAAAAACTGCATTTAAATCAGTATCACCGCTAGTGTACTGGGAATAACAACAATATTTTCATTGTGCAAGATATAGCCAAAGAGAGGAGCTGTTTACTTCATTTACTATGACACAATAGCAAAAGAATATTTAACAAATAAAAGACAAAGAGAAAATGTATTAATAAAAGAGAAAGGTAAATTTAAGAACCAAAGGAAAATAGGGATTCTAATAAAGGCTGTACTTAGCTAGAGAGAAAATTAACAAAACAAAAAGAAAACTCTTCCAACTTTTATAAAGAAAAAATATATAAATATGAACGGTTTAGGCACATTTAAACATAAGGAAAATATTGCCCAATTATAGCAACAGCCAAAGAAGTTTCTATTCATAAACTATGCTTAATCTTTACTGAAATCTAACATTTAAAAATTTAGATACAAAATCACCTAAGTATTTAATAAAAAACTGTAACAACAAATCTCTGTTTGAAACATAAATAATATACTTCTCTTTCCATTTATTTTTAAGACTCCTTACAAAAATATTAGGACAATATAGACACATAAAGTTGAGCTTTTATAAAAAGAACATAATGCTATAAAATGATGTTGTGGTTTTAATGACTTTTAAATAATACATGTAAAGAAGAAGATTTTAAAAGTTTCTAATAAATATACCCCTATTTTTCTTATTTAAGCATTCTGTAATTAAATAAGTAAATATGGTGCAAGAGAGAAAATTTTTAACATTCTTTCAATTCTATTACACATGCTACATAATTCCATTTAGTATGAACTATTCAAAAATACTTTATTTAAAGCAATGAAAAATTAAGAAGACTTACTACACAGTTTGGCAATTAGCCTATCTTGGCTTATTTTGAGTTTTTTATATGTGAAATGCTCTAAATGGAATCATTCCACTACTTACAAAGATAACTTTCTAATAATAAGAATAAAAGTCACCTAAGTAAACAATTTTAATAATTTTGCCTTACCTTTAGCTAAAGCTTCCTTATATTTCTCTTTGGCAGAATTCATTTCTTTTATTAATTGTCTATAGCTGGATTTTAATTTCTCCAATTCTGTTTTTGTAACCTGTCAAAGAAACAAAAGGCAGAATTTTTTTTTAATGTTTAAATTTAAATTGTTCAATGAGAACACAGGGAGGGGAACATCACACACTGGGGCCTGTTGCGGGGTGGGGGGCTAGGGGAGAGATAGCATTAGGAGAAATACCTAATGTAGATGACTGGTTGATGGGTGCAGCAAACCACCACGGCACATGTATACCTATGAAGCAAACCTGCACATTCTGCACATGTACCCTAGAACTTAAAGTATAATAAAAAATAAATTAAATTGTTCAAGAACTTAAGTTCCAAAGCAATAACTGATGTGTATTTTACTACTTACAGGTCAGAGTTGCTCTTTAATATATAATTATAGAAAATAAACTACAAACATGTTTTAAAAATCAGTACTAAATTCAATAGCATGTGAAAACAAATTTATTAAAAAGAATAGCAAATCAGGCCAGGTACAATGGCTCACACCTGTAATCCTAGCACTTTGGGAGGCTGAAACAGGTGTATCACTTGAGACCAGCTCAGAACCAGCCTGGCCAACACAGTGAAAACCTGTCTCTACTAAAAATACAAAAAATAAGCAGCGCCATGGCAGTGCACACCTATAATCCCAGCTGCTCGGGAGGATGAAAGACAAGAATTGCTTGAACCCAGCAGGCAGAAGTTGCAGTGAGCCAAGATCATGCCACTGAACTCCAGCGTGGCTAAAACTAGTCTCAAAAATAAAAAAAGAAAAGTAAATAAAGAATGCCACTGCCATTACCTAATTTTTTTTAATTAACTTGGTATGTGCAGAAATATTTTCTGTGATTAAAAAAATTAAGATATTTATTATTTTTATGGCACAATGAAACAAATGCAAGTCCTTGACTCTAGTCAAAAAGCCATATAAATGCAATTTAAGGAAAAAATATGTGCCTCAGATCTTGTCTACAATCTTCAAACTTGCCATTTGAGAAAATTTAAAAAGAGAAAGCATCAAAACCTTGCAAAAGGGGTCATCAGCAACTTGCAAGATAATGTAAGGGCCCTTTTTAAAGAAATTCTGTATCACCAATGTTCTTGATGACACAGATAATGACACTGTGTGGATAAACAAAAATAACTGCAATATACATATAAATGAGTTCAAATCATTCTCCATTCAAGAAAAAACTCACTGGTTAACTTTGTAAAACTATTAGGTAAAAGGCTGATAGATATAAAACTTTTTTTTGTTTTGAGACAGAGTCTCACTCTGTTGCCCAGGCTGTTGGGCAGTGGCATAATCTCAGCTCACTGCAACCTCTGTCTCCAGCGTTCAAGCAATTCTCGTGTCTTAGCCTCCTGAGTAGCTGGGATTACAGATGTGCACCACCACACCTGGCTAAATTTTGTATTTTTAGTAGAGATGGGGTTTTCACTGTGTTGGCCAGGCTGGTCTTGAACTCCTGACCTCATTTGATCAAGGCCTACCTTGAGCTCCCAAAATTATGGGATTACAGGCATGATCCACCACACAGAGCCAGAAAACTTTTTAAATAGATTGATCAGGTTGATAACACCAGAACCAATTAGTCAAGATTCACATAATAAAAAGATAAACCGACATTATAAACCACAAAAAGTGTATACCACCACCTATGATGTATTCTTGCCCGAGATAAACAGCCAGAATCTTATCAAGCCTCTAGATCTAAATTCCAATTTACAGAAAAAAGTAAAGATGAAGGAATATATGAGAAATCACATCATCAGATGTTAACAGAAAAACTCAAAATAAAGTAAATTCAATCATATAGAACAAATTATCTAGTTTCTTTCTTCCACAAATAAATGACATTTTATTAAAAACTGGGCAGGAAAGAGAACCTATATATTTTTTTAAATTGTCATTCAAATGCAATGTGTAGATGGTATTTGGATCCTGATTCAACTCAATCAACTATAAAAAAAATTTAAACAATAACCATTTCAACACAGAATATTCAATAACATGAAGGAATTATTATTATTAGGTGAATTAATGATAATAGAGTTACATTTTTAACAAGAACACTTATTTTGGCTATCCATTCTAAAATATTTATGGATAAAATGATATCTGAGGATTTCCTTAAAATGATCTATTTTTTTATAAAAAAAAATTGAGTGGGAGTATAGAAAAAACAGTGACTATTTAAGTGATGGGTAGGTGGCAGTTCATTTTACTACTCTCTCTTCTTTTATACATTTACAAATTTCTATAATAAAAATAATTTTTAAAAAAGTATGCAGAAGAGACAAACTGAATGTAAGCAAAATTAGGGATATGTAAATTTAAGAATACCAAAGTCATTTTGCCCATATTTTCTTTTTTATTTATGCAGAGTAGTAGATAAGACAAATTTGTTTTTAAAAGACTAAAAGAACTATTTCAGTAAATAAAAACTAAGAATCCTAAGTGTAATAAAGCAATGTGTCGTAGTCTAATTGGCAGCCTCTTTTTCCTTTCTTTCTTAGGAGTATATACAGTAACAGTGTATCCTATAACCGATGTTTTACATTCAATAAAAATATTACTTTTAGAGACCACAAACCTATTTCTTGTTGGGAAATGACAAATAAATAATTTTAAAAGTCAAATAAGATAAAATGGCTCAATGAATTTGAAAAACAATTTAAAGAAAGAACTTCAATATAGAAAAACGAACCTTGATCATCTCTGCCTCTATCTGCTGATGAACACCTATGTAACTTTTCTTCACCTGCTGCTTGTCCTTAATCATCATAGTGAGTCTGTGTAAGGGTCCAGAGTTCAAGTCCTCTGCATGTGTCTTCATTATCCTACTAAGTTGTTCTGTCTGCTGAATCATAAGTAGCCAAGACTTATAAAAAAAAAATAAAAAAAATTAACATTTGCATTAATGGTTTTCATTTGGCTGTGCTTTAAGAGTTCAAAACTTTAAATATTTGGTTTTACATAAATTATTACATTAATATAATAGGTTCCTGACAACTGTGCAAAGATCTATGAATGGTTCGTATTTAACGTCTTCAACTTCAACTACAAATGCCTCAAAATTCTATAATCAGAGACCACACAGAAAACTAAGAAAAAGATTAGGGGACTCTTAAGTGTCCACACTTGCAGTCTTCATTTTATCACTTCTCATTTGTTTTCCAACACACTGAAATATTGCTCTGCCAGACCATTCCAATGCCCCACTATGGTCTCCAGTTCCCAACGGTCGAATGCAATAGACATTTTCCCATCTTCATCTTAACCTGCCTCTCTGTGAAATCTGATCCAACTTCATACTGAAACTGTCATACTCAACTTCATACTGAAACTGTCTTTGTGAAGGCTCGCTTAGCTTCTTATTTCCAACATTCCTGGCTTGTTTTCCTCCCTTTCTAAAATTTCCTTTCCCATCTTTGGTGCCTGCTCTTTTGGCGCCTGTGTAAATACTGGTACTCTATGAATTTCTATCTATAGCTCTATTCTTTCCTTAACAAATACCTTTACATTTCAATAGTTATTCTAGCACAATACACTAAAGGGCACAACACACTGCCTCAATAGCAAAAGGCATGTAATTGTAGGTTTGGGACCAGTGGCCATATGGAGACTGAGAGAAGAACAAATCATTTACAAGTTAGACTTATGACATATATACTGAAAAAAAAAAGTAACAAAGAAATGCTCTTCACTATAGGTATTTAATATTCTATCCAGAAACAATATTGAAGACCCATGATAGGTTGGGTCCAAAAGATATTTTCTAAATGGACAAGATTTGGTTTCCAATATTGACAACAGTAATTTTCTACTATTTCTACAATTATTTTTGACCTGTGAAGGAAGAGAATTATCTTTCTGTTAATATTCCAGTGTAATAATCAAAAACCAAAATTCATAAGAATCTAAAGCAAAATTATAGCCTAAAGAAAGCAAATTTTTAGTTACAATACACACTTGCCAGGATCTGACTTGTCAATCTTGTTTCTTATATACTGTATTATATGTATTTTTAAAATAACAACCTTTGAGAACAGTTATTTTAGGGAGGGGACTCATTTTTAGTTGTGAAATGATATCATCAACATGGAACATATGTGTGACCTATAAACCCATCATATTTACTTTTAAGTATGAAAATATAATCACTAACATGCTCTTAACCCCAAAGCAATTTAAAACTAATATAGTCCTTATTTTAAAATCTAAAATTTAACAAAGATGCAAACAATATAAAACTATACAAACCTGGATTAAAAACATAAACTAAATAGCTATATGTAGCTTTGCCTTTTTCATGTAGCATTTTCACTTCAAACTATGCAGTATTGAAAAAATATTCTATGGCATGAGCAGAATGTTAACACTACAAAAAAACACAAAGTAACAGGAGTCAGTGTTCGTGCTCGTGCTCTACGTTCAAAAAATAAATATTCTTTAAGTGCTTTGTAGAAATAACTTTTTGTAATTCTTTGTAGGAGTCCTTGCAGCCTAGAGGAGAAGCTTTCTTGGAAGCCAAAAAAAAACCATAGTTAATTGCCCTACTCTCCCAGAAAGGCACATCCCAACCTTCCTAAAAGCCCTGTTCACTGTAGTCACTACAGGAAGTCTAAGGTCTCAACGCATATATTGCCACTCTGTCAACCCCACGTTGCCCTCAGTATCTCCTAATCCAACTCAAACCACTATCTATAGAACCCTGTATCGTCAAGAACTCTGGCTCTGTAATTAGAAAACTCTTCATACCTCTTATCAGAACTTTCAATTTATCTTCTAGCTTTAACAAAAGCCTGGCTCTGTCTCACTCCGAACACCCCAGTGCTACTAATAAACATTCTTTGTGTTTCTGCAGAAGTCCCTGCTCCTTTCAATCTCAGGACACCCTTCTCCATGAACAATTCATCAGCAAGTCTATCAGATTCTGCCTCAAAAGTCAATTACAAATCCACCGGCTTCTCTCCATCTCCACTGTCACTCCTTTGAAGGTTATGATCCTCTCTGACTTAGACTATTCATACCTCCCTGAAATG